CTGCTGAAGAAAATAGCCCAAGGCACGTTACTGCTAGGGAACCTGTTTTCAGATTTATGCTAAATTTTTCCTTTCTGTAACTCAAAGGTAAAATCTTTAGAAACTCTCTCCCTCCTTATTATTACTCCTTTGTAATCTACCACGTAACTCTGGATCACTCAGGGACTGCAGTGGTAGAGCCAGATTTCAGCTCCAGCTCTGCCTCTAGAAGCTCAAGTCCCACTTTGGGCTAGAGCAAAAAGGGAATAAAAGGGAATAAACCCATTTGTTGGACTGAAGGCACCCTTTCCCTCTCATGCTGCTACCAAGCCTTGTCCCTGAACCTGACACAGAAACTGAAACCGCTTACTCCAGTTTGGAGCCTGAAGAATCTGTCTTAACCCTTGTAAAGGTACAGGTGGTGGTGGATTGTTGTTTGGTGTTTGGGTTTTTTTAGTCTGCTTTTTTATGATCTTTTAGCAATTTGTTCTGTCCAACTGAAATGGACACTTGTCTGCTGAGCTAAAGTTAGGTACTTTAAAGGATGAATGCCAGTTGCTGTTCTTCAGTCAAAACTAATGCACTATAAACTCCTGGCTTTTGTTTTTCTCTTGTATTGTGGTGGCTGAAGGCCTCTTTGGGAAGGGATGAAACAGCAAGCAGGAGTTGCTTCTGGTGGACTGCTGCCTGTTACATCCTGCCCCTTTTAGCATACAAAAAGGGGTGCTGTGTTTGCTATCGGCGTACTTAACTGTACTCACCTGTAGGGTGTTAATCTTTCTGGATTTTTTTTTCTTCCCCATAGGATGATGAGAGTCTGAAGTACTTGACTCATGAAGAGCAGGATGTTCTCATGTTCTTTGAGGAAACCATAGATGCCTTAGAAGATGACTTGGAGGAGCCGGTCCTACGTGACAGTGGCATCCACTGCCAGTCCCCAAGGTCAACGGACGAAAATGTGTCCAGTCATTCAGAGACTGAAGATATCATTGACTTAGTACAGTCAACACCTGAGAGTAGCGACCACGAAGGCCCTCCTAGCAGAGATGCAGAACCAGGTAGTCGTATTTCTTGGAAGTGTGGTTTTCCCTTTGACCTAGCCCTGACATACTCCAGTTCTCAACAGAAACACTTAAAGAAATTCTGCATCTTCCTTACTACATCAAGATGAATCCATTACACGTCAGGAGCTCTAAGGACTGTGATTTTAATTTGACTGGGGATTTCTGAAATTCTTGCTATTACTATAACTTTTTTCTTTCTTTCTCATGGAGGTCATGCATATGGTGAAGTTCTTGGACTGCTATCTCAGTCCCCTACCAGGTGACCGAGTTGTACCAGAACTGAGTATTATGCAGAGTCATTGCAATAAGGCAGAACAGTGTTCATCAATGTGTTCACGCTCTGCTTCTCTCTAAGGCCTTTTAAGACTTTCTCGAAGAGTTTTAAGATAGCAGGTTGTTTGTTGTGTTACTTTGTGTGGGACTGAAAGGCACACGATCCTATCAAGTTTGTGACAAGATAGTGTGTGGCATGTTGTTTTCTTCACCATGTCAAGTTCTCCGTTTTTGGAGAATGGATTTATCGGCTGGTACATACAGTGGAGTGTAATGTGTCCTCTCTTGGCTGTTATGATAAATGAGAATTGCAGAACTCTTATAGAAAAAGCAGCCATTGAAACAGAGTAAAGCTGACACGGAGATTGTGAATGAATGGCAGAAAGAGGGCTTCTAGTGAACGCATTGTAAATACGGCGATTTGAACGATAGTGTCGCCTACAAGATGCCATTGCTTGGAGTTCAGTTACAGTTTCTTCTGGCAACGTGGGCTGAGTTTGAGTTAGAAAATTGGGGGCGGGGAGTACTGACGCTTGCTAATCCTAGGTGAAAGAAAGTCTTGTATTCTGCTCTGTGTGGAGACTTAATGACATTATTGCTGCTTTGTCTTTTAAGTGTTGGATGCTACCTGGAGAACAGAGAGCCCTAAGCCAGCTGTACCTGCTGACCTTCCCCCACAACCCCCTGTACCACCACCACCACCACCGATGTCTGAGACTCTTCCGCTTCCTCCTCCTCCACCACCTCCTCCAGTGCAACATCCAAAATTGCTTCGCTCTGTCCCCACTCCGCTCATCATGGCCCAGAAGATGTCTGAGCAGCAGATGGAGAGCAGGGCGCGCTTCCCCAATGCCCTCAAGGAAGGGAGTGCAGACAAGAAGAAAACCCTAGTAGCCAATGGTGATTATTTTGTGGCTCCCAAGCACCCTCCTGCACCTGCACCCAAACTGCACCGGTTCCCGAGCAACATCAACATAACAAATGTCAGTGGCAAAGAATTCAATGAGACGATTTCAAAAGCAGCAGTTAACGTCCAGGAGCGGAGAGCTCAGGTGCTGGCCAACATAAATGGAGGAGCTTTTCTGGCAGCTGAACTGGAGGAGAAGCTGCAGAAAAATGACTTCTTGTCACGTAATAGAAGTTCTTCCTTAAGGGATCTCTCCTCTGAGCAAACACGATATGAGGCCCTGACAAAACTTGGCCTAGTTAAAGGAAAGCCAGCTCAGGACCAAGTGGACCATGCCCCAAGCACTCAGCAGCTTGATGTGCAGCCCAAACAGGCAGACGCTGTTCCCAATGGATATCAAAACATCCACGATATTTTAAAAAGTGAGCCCAGCCCTTTCCTTCCTATGGGCAAAACTGTAACAATCAAACCAGAGGTAGCTCTTGCTGCTGACAAGGCCAGCAGCACGCAGCAGAACACAGCAAAAAGTTTTAATGATTATAAACAACCTAGTCTAAACCTGGATATGAGGAGGAGATCAGGTTCGCTGCCTAGACCTTCAGGATTTCGATCCCAAGGGGTAACGGTAAAGTTTTCTGGCCGTGGCTCAACAGAAGAAGCTAGGAGAGAGGCACTTCGGAAACTGGGACTACTGAAAGAGACTGCATAATTTGGATGGGAATCTTTTGGCAATGGGGGGGAAGTCATAGCATGGCTTTGTGTTAGAATAGTCCCAGCAGGATTGGGATCAAACAGATTGGAAGAAGAAAGGGGAAGTTCTTTGCTTCAGGCAAGCTGAGGAGGTACTAGATGCTGTGGAATGACCGCTCGTGTTTATCCCAGAAGAACTGGCACCATGTACGGTCATGTACGGCAGTGGGCTTCAGCTCTCCTTCCTACAGAGATACTCATCTGTTGCTCTTTGTGACTAAGAGGAATTTTATTTAAGTAATGCTGGACTGTAGCAGACAGCATCCCGTTAATGAAGTGTACAGTGCAGTATTGTTGTACATAGCGAAGCGAATGGTGAATCTTCCTTTTGCTCTTTCTGAAGCCAAAAAAAAAAAAGCTGTTTGTCTTGCTCACACATGTATGTCTGTTCGTGGGAGCTCGAGATAATGTCAAAACTGAAATTTCTGACCAGCATGACACACTTCTGTGACTTTCTGTTGTCTGTATTGTCTGGCTTGGCTTCATTCCCTACCAGTGGTGGAGTCTTCTGCTTCCTTGCTCTGTGCCCACTTGACTCAAGACTGTACAGAGGGTGGTTTCTGGTTTGACCTTCTCCTCGACAGAGCAGCCCAAGCTTTGAGTGGGTGACTGCATCACTCTGCTGCTTCACTTGGAAGTCTTGCCTTTCTTCCCAGCCACCTGCTTCTTGGTCACGCTCTAGCAACCTACGTGTCCAGTGGAAGGCACCAGATAAGCCTCAAGGATATGCACCATGCGCCGGTTTTCGCACTGACAGCCAAAGAGTCTCCTGACAATCTGTGACCCCAACTCTTCTGTACCAGTGATGATCTTATAGCAGAGAAGCCATAGGAACAAGTTAACTTTGTACCAAATGCGAAAACCTTACGTCAAAAGTCTTATCTTTTACTTTTTGAACAATAGCTGTACTACGCTGAATAGTTGCAAGTTCTGTTACTTCTAAAAACTGTCACTTGATCTTCCTGTAGTTTGACAGCCCTAATAATCCTCTATTCACAGCCTTATTTAATTCTGCCCTGCCAATGCATTAACAGAAGTTACAGCCAAAATTCTTGCAGGCTAAGTGGAGTTACAGAGAGAACCGTATGTAAGAGCACATTGCTCCTGAATGGTCCGAGTTGGCGCGTTTTGCCTTAGTTCAATAGACATGCTTTTAAAGATGGTCCCAAAATATATTTGTATGTTGGTATGTTTGTTTTTTAATAGGGCAAAGCTGCTCTTCCACATTAAAACTCCCTTCCCTTTTTGTACACCTGAAAACATCCAGAATAGCCATTTTAAAATCAAATGCCAAACTCCAGACCCTCTAAATTTCTCATTGTTATTCCTGCATGTTTAAGAGCTCTCGGTGTTTTGGTTGGGGTTGTTTTGTTTTGTTTTTTTTCAAAAGGGAAAAGCTCACTTATTCTCTGCACTTTCTAGAGCCCCTCTTTTTCCCAAGAAGCTGAGTAATAAACCTTGGAGAAGAGGAGGGGAGCGGCTATAATAGAAACTGGCACACCCTTCAACGAGGAGCTCTGACATAACTGTGATAAACAAGTTTGTAGTTCTTGTGATAAAGTATTTCAAACTTGCTGAGCTGTACTTATAAATGAAGCTGTCATGAAGGAAAAATCTTTGCATTGTACTCAACCTGCCTCATAAGTTAAAGTTTTTTCGTTTGGTTTTTATTTTTTTAAATTACCTGCTTGCTGCTTAGATTTTTAATTGTGGTGTTATGGTATCTGGCTGGTTCTGGTATGTAGTTACTCTTTTCAGCCTTTTCACTGGGTAAGTGATCGTGTTCCTCATTGTGACAGGCATACTATACACGAGCAATCAGTAATTAAAATATGTGGCCATTCCTCAGTCTGGCAGAGCACTTAGGCATGCATAATCAAATGTGAGAAGTGCCACTGAAACAAAAAAGGCTGCTTGTATGCTGCAAGTAAAGCACATACTTACTTGGCTGGGCTCCAAGTCTGTAGTCCTAAATCAGAAGGACAAGGAGGCACATAAAAACACATCCAAGCACCTGCTTCAGTGCAGCCTGCAGCGGAGTCCCGCATGTAGATGATGCATCGTAATTTATTAACATAATCTGCTAAGTCAATTTAAATGTTTCATGACCTTTGTGCTTTTAAATCCTCGTAAAGCAAATTTTTCATTATAAATGTGAAGTGCATACGAAGCCATCTTCACATCTAATCATTTCCTGCCAGCTCTTCTTTAGGTTGTTTACAGCCGAGAGTCCATGCACAGCAAACAGGGGGTGGGGAAAAAACCCTGATGCTAATTGTTCCCTTGAAATTCAGTCCTATCCAGTAACTCCTGTAACATAACCCTATTTAAAAAAAAAAAATTAGATGTTTAATATCTAAAGTATAAAGTTGCAGTGTGCTGAATTAGCTGGATCGTGTTCTTTCATCCTTTGTGCAGGGCTGCGTCCTCAACCAGTGGGAAGTGAGAGTTAGATCCTCATTAGATAAACCAATTTCTGCCCAGTGAGGACTTGGAACGAGGTATTCATTGTGGCCCTTCATTATAGCAAACATCCTACTGGTAAATTCTCTGTGCCTAAAACTGTAGTAAGTAAAGCCATGTACTAAATGAAGTTAAGAATCTAGCTGCTAATAACCTGTATATAAATTTAGCTCTATTTTGTGTATCTTGTTTTGTGTGTATATGTTGCTGTGATTTATTTTTTTTTTTCCCCCCTTGTGTTAGAGGTAACTGTCTTGCCCAAAACTGATAAATCATCTATTAAACTGGGATAAAACCAATGAAACAATGGCTCATGGGAGGTGGAATTTTGTTCTTTGTCACCTAGCAGCATGCATCCTTCTTGAAGGAGGGAAGTGACTTTTATTAATGGCTAATATCCATTTAGTAACTTTTCTTCTTGCAGTTGTGGATGTGTGTGTGAGCCAGAGCTCAGTCATGTCACACTAAGAGTGAAGGAGGAGGAAAAAAGAAAACAAAGAGAAAAAAGAATAAAGGGGGGGGATTGTGTCTTCCTTCTGTCAAGAGATGTGTATTCTTGCTGCTGGGCTTCAGTAACTGCGACCAGAGTGCTTGCAGGAGTGAAATTCATCCTGAACAGTGTTTGAAGTAGGCAAAAGCCCCCCCCTCTCCCAGTGTTTTGCATTATTAAAATGACTTTTTCCAAGAGGAACATTGTATACGTGAAAGAACAGTTACTCATCTTTGTGTTTCCATAGCTGCCTTCCACAGGTGTTACCGTAAGCGAGTGTGATCCTGCTGAGGGTAGAAGTCTGTCTTGTTGCAGAATATTCCTACCCACCCCTTCTGCGCGCGTGCACGCGTTTGCTGCCTTTCTGTCTTCCGTTTGGATACTTGTCCATCAAGGCTGCTACGATGCTTCCAACCCAGAACTGGGTAGTGCTGACTCTGGCATGCGTTACTGGAGTCGGCGCTGCTGAGCGGAGCATGGAGGCGAAGGTTTCCCAATGCAATGCTGCGTAGCTGAGGTGGCGGCTAACTCATCCCACGCTGAGGCTTGTCCCACTTCGAGTAAGGAATGGTTTAGAGCCAAAACTAACAAACTCCGCCTTAATATAACAATGATGGCAAAACCCTCAGAAGAACAGACGTCCAGGAACGAGTGGGTACTTTTGACTCAGACTCCCAGGGGTAAGGACTGCACTCGGTGGCTTCAGCCCCTAATTCTTTGTGCGAGAAGCTGGAAGGTGGCATGGCCCCCCCAGCTGGTACCTGGGAGGAACCCTTGAAACAACGCTACTGTTTTGAAGATGTTTTTAGAGAGAGAGAGAGGTGGTGTTGAGCATTTGTCCAAATATCATGTATATGACGGGGTGTCATCCAGGGAGACCTGGACAGGCTGGAGAGGTGGGCCTGTGTGAACCTCATGAGGTTCAACAAGGCCAAGTGCAAGGTCCTGCACCTGGGTCGGGGTAACCCCCGGTATCAATACAGGCTGGGGGAAGAAAGGATGGAGAGCAGCCCTGCC